GTTGTGGTAATTTTTTTTAAATCCTCAGATAATACACTTCCAGCTGAGTACCCTGATGAATGGAGCAACTGGATCGGTGGTTGGAAAGCAAAATATTTCCCTTTAGGTTAGTTAATGATCATATTCAACTAAGGAGCCAAAATTGTAGCTTTTTCTGTTGACAACAAAAGGACTCATGGGTATCATTTTCTTTTTTAAAAATATTGCATGTTTCCAAAAACTCGAATTTGCACCTATTTACTTTTCAGTCAGCATCCCCATGCTTCTTTCCTACAAAAACCTTACTAAAATGTCCATCAGGATAAAATAGATCTAACTATATCTAATTTTCTTCAACATGAAATCAGACAAGGACATCACCATCTATCCATCCCCAATCTATGCTACATTCTCCTCAATAAAGTAAAGCCACAGAGTAAAACATCAAAGTAGTGTAATACAGTTGTATTTTCACATGGAAATAAGAAATTCACATACTACTTAGTATCTTCTCCAAGATTTTATATTGTGAGAAAATTATGTGGTAATTATAGCATCATTGGTTTTTTAATTAGGACTTAAAATTATGAAAGTTTCATTGTTTAATATACACACATTTCATGGGAAATAGGAGTGTGCTGTTGTAAAAGAAACTAAATCAGATGGTAGTATTTTCCTAGAAACTGAGTATTTAACACAACTAGTTAGCAGATTAATGATCATTTTTGAGTCATTCTCCCCGAAAATTTAGTAGCAAAAAAAAAAAAAAAATTAGAGAATAAGATAAAAGGTACATATATATTTTTAAGAACTTTAAATTTTATTTTTCAATTAGTTTACATTCAATATTATTTTGTATTGGTTTCAGGTGTACAGCATAGTGGTTAGACAATCATATACTTTACAAAGTGTTCCCCCTGATATTTTTAGTACCCACCTGGCACCATACATAGTTATGGCATTTCCTATGCTGTACTTTATATCCCCATGACTATTTTGTAACTGCCAATTTGTACTTCTTAATCCTGTCACCTCTTTCACCCAGTTCCCCAATCCCCCCTCCACTCTGGCAACCATTAGTCTGTCCTCTGTCTACAAGTCTGTTTCAATTTTATTTGTTTGTTTATTTTGTTCTTTAGATTCCACATATAAGTGAAACCACATGGTATTAGGACAAAAATACACCTTGAAAGTTTAGGATCTATTTATCTTTCAGTAGCTAAATTGACTAAAACTAAAATGAGACTTAACTTTGAAATACAGATTACAGTGCCATGTTTGTTGGTTACCTCTTGGTAAATTGGATGATGAAATACAACTTCTTTTGCACCTGCATGAGTAGCACCAACGCTGCCCCTAGGATTGCCTTGCTTTTCTGTCCCTTTCATGAAAGGGCTTTAAAAGTGTGGATCCTCAACTGAGGTATAACGAAAATCGGTTAATTCAAAGCACAGGAAACCTCTTCCCTTCTGTCCATATCCCTCACCCCTTAACTCAGCAAAAAGTGAACTAAAATTAAAAAGTTACTTATAATTAAAGGGGATCCAATGATTAGGAAATGAATTTTTTTTTGTAGTAAAGCAGAGCAGACCAAGAAACTTGAGTGGCCTTAATATTTGCCTTTGGGACCAGATCATTTGAAAGTTTCATTAATTTGCCCGGCCAGGCATGGCTCAGCAGTTGAGCATCTACCAAGTATCCAGGCGATGGGGGTTCGATTCCCGGGCAGGGCACATGCCGGGGTTGTGGGCTCGATCAATGACTCTCTCATCATTGATGTTTCTATCTCTCTCTCTCCCTCTCCTTTCCTCTCTCTGAAATCAATAAAGATATACTAGAAAGAAAGAAAGAAAGAAAGAAAGAAAGAAAGAAAGAAAGAAAGAAAGAAAGAAAGAAAGAAAGAAAGAAAGAAAGAAAGAAAGAAGAA